ACAATTGCCAATGTTTCTAAAACGTATTTTCTGATTAAAATGAGTGGTTATTTGACTTGTTTTGGACCCATAACCATTTATTTCAATTTCCCACAAAAATTGCCTTTGAATTTCTTCCTTATTCAAACCACTTCACACCAATCTTTGATATGAGCCAAAACAATTCACCATGAGTTCTTGGTTAGCCTAACAACCATATTTTGATCAACTTTCTAGTTGAACAATTTTCCATTTGAGGCCTCTAAGTTGGAGATTTTGACCCATGCTTGAGAATGACTTATAATCACCAATACCCAAAATACCCCTAGATTGCCAAGATCATAACTGGAGTTCTATACATACCCTTGAGGTCTTCTAGTACTATATGGAAAGCTAAGATATAGATCTAAAACTCTCATGTTGGCCAAGAATCCATTTGAAAACTCCTTGAAGGGAAAAAGTTGCTTGGAAGTCAAGTGACTTTCACAGATAAATTTCATAGTCCTCTAATGACCTGTAATTTGCAAGAACCATAACTTGAGTTTTAAAAATCCTCTTGAGGACTTATAGTACTCAAATTAAAGGTATTGAGAAGCTCTACAAGTTTCATGTTGGCCAAAGATCCATTTGAAACTTGTATTTTGACTTATGTGGCTTTGAAGTGAGACACTAAACAGGAGATTTTACACTGAAACCCTAATTTAGCAACTTTCCACATTCTTGATCTTTCTTTGATTAACCTTGGCACAACACCACACATGTATCAAAATACCAATCCATGCATCCCATGACCTCTAGGTAGGCTTTGATGCTTTCCAGCTACTCAATTGAATTAGGGTTGACCCAGATGAAACCCTAGTTGACTGCACTTCAAATGTGGCTCTTGTACTTGAATCAATGACTTGCCTCAGCTTCAATAAGGACCTCTAGACATCCCATGAGATCCATACACACCTCACATTCACATCCCATGTTCCTCATCCCACTGATGATTCTCAATATTCCTCAGGATAGGAGCAAAACACACATGTAGGCACTCAAACTTCTCAAGACTTCCAATCATTTCTTGATGGCTTGGATGGTTTCTCATACTGGATAACACACCTTGCTAGGATCTTCTCTTGATAGACACCTTGATCCCTTGTTGGATTCATGCTATGCTATGATATGCCAATGATTGAACTATGTACATGATGTAACTATGCAAATGAAATGCAATGAAACACAAATCAGGCAAAAAAAGGTTGAGCAAATTTTGGGGTGCAACAGCTGCCCCTATTCAAACGGCTTGGACCCGATTGGGGTGAAGAGCGAACGACCTTCAAACAATCGAGGTACGAGACAGTTGAATACCAAGAAACCCAGAAATTTGCCAACCGCAGAAATAAACTGCACTGCTTGGGGAACGACATCCACCAATTGAATCTGGTTGTTACGGCAACAACTGATCCAACGTCTGATAATAATTTTGATTTCAACTTCCACGACCTATGTAACGCCACAGGTACCGAACAAATTTTGCAAAACACCTCCGTCCACAACTAGACCAACCTTGTCAGCCCAAGAAGGGAAACAAATTCATCAACACGAATAGAGATTCTGTCATCACAGGAGTAACCTTGTACACATCTGGACCCCGAATTTCGTCAAATCACGAATAAACACCAATCTGACCACGTCAGGACTCACGTTTCAACAACACAGGAATAGAACTTTGTCCATGTTAGGACGCTTGTTTCGTCAACACGAAGAAATCTCAACTAAAACTTGTCCACGTCAGGACTCCACCTGCCGTCAACACGGAAAAATCCCGGCGACTTCGCTGGGGATGACTCGTCTGCATTTCGTCATCACGAGGGGATCCTATCAACATAGGAATAAATTGTCCACTTTAGGAATAAATTGTCCACGTTAGAAATAAACTGTCCACGTTAGGAATAAACCGTCCACGTTAGGAATAAACTGTCCACGTAAGGAATCCATTGTCCACGTTAGGAGTAAACTTTCCACGTTAGGAATAAAACTGTCCATGTTAGGAAGAAACTTTCCACGTTAGGAATAAACTTTCCACGTTAGGAATACATCTCGTCTTGATAAGAAAACCCTATCAACATGGGAGTAAATTGTCCACGTCAGGACACCATTTCATCGACACGAAGAAAGATAAATTCGTCCACGTCAGGACTCGCGCATCTTCGACCCGCTGAGGAAATAAAACTTGTCCACGTCCGGACTCACGTTTCGCCAACACGAAGAAATATAAATTTGTCCATGTCAGGACTCACATTTCACCATTACGAAGAAAGATATCTGCTGGGAATAAATGGTCCACGTCAGGACGCCATTTCGTCAACATGAAGAGTAATCAATTTGTCCACGCCAGGACTCCACATTCCGTCAACGCGGAGAAATCGAATTTGTCCACGTTAGGACTAGCACATCACGTCAACCCGAGGAAATAAATCTGTCCACGTTAGGACACCCACTTTACCAGCACGAAGAAATCCCGTCAATACAGGAATAAATTTTCCACGTCAGGACTCGTATCTTGTCATCACGAGGAACTCCTATCAACATAGGCACTACAATTTTGGCGACTTCCGGGGAAATATTCCTGTCAACCAGTAAGAAAATACATCTGTCTATTCATACGGGGAGATACTCCGAATACCGTTTCTCCTTTTTTATATATGCAGTAGCTAACTCCATTGATCCCAACCTACAAATCTTTTAGCACTGACGTGACAGTGACTTTGAGGCGGACCCTACTGGGGATATTTGGAAATCAAACTGCCGGACGCCTGTTTCGATAACCAGCGACAACTTCTGAGATTTTGATTCATGAAACCCTTTGATGCTGACGTAACAAAAAATTTGAAGAAAATAATCCGCTGACCGGATAAAAAAAACTTCAACAAGCCACTCTGGCGGGGAAAACAAGAGAAATTTAAGCAAACAACTCTGCTCGGGGACCAAGTGACTCTGTGGGGAAAATAGTAAGATGAACCGTATCATCACACGTCTCATGGCGAGACCTCAAATGTCTGGTCATAGATCTAAGCTAGAACTCCATACTCCTGCTAAGAAAACACACCTGAAAGCAAAAGGTTAACCAACCTGATTTATATTTCAAAAATGCGTATGTTTGAAAATGGCGTAATGCTCCGTACGGCACAGAAATGCTACGCGTTTGAGTAGATGCAAATATGAAGATATATGCAAATGCAAATGCAGGCTCAAGCTGCCAGGAAACTCTGGTAGTGTTGTCTCAACAACATGAATGCTGAGGGTAACGCCAACTCCGCTGGGGAGAACGAGTATCACAAAATATCCTGGCAAAATAAACGCCAGAAGTACAACCAACTCTGCCGGGGAGAGACTAAACATCAATTTCCACTGGGAGGAAAGAACAAACCACCCTGCTGGTGAACCAACTCATCTGGGAAAGAAGCGACACTTCTGGGAAAAACACACTATCGGGGCACTGTTTACACATTCAGAGCCTCAGACTCTGCTAAGGATCAACATCCTGTCAATGGCATGACGACCTGTGGGGAGAAGGGAAACCGTCCTCCGGGTATAATCCTTCTGAACCAGCAACTTGGTTAACTATTGTAGGACTCTCCCATGCTGGAGATTGAACGTGCACATCTTCGATTCGCTGAGGAGCGCGACCTCTGCAGGGGACACTGATTTTGACTTGCTGGGATTAATCCTATGGACGGGTTTCAATGAGGACACTCTCCTGGGGAAAATAATTCCCTGCTTCGGGAAGGGATAAACGTCCTTTCAAATCTCGGGGGGATAAGCTGCAACTAGCTGAGGAATGACATCAACTGGAGTCAGGTCTTACGTCAAGCGACCTTGGCTGGGGAATACAATTCCGGACCGCTTGCTCCAAAAGTAAGAACCCTGCAAAACACAAACGAGACAAAACAGGCCTATACAACAGAATCTATCCGGGTTATCATCTGTGACATTACTTCAGTCAATTCAAAGTTTTAGCAATTATTGGCAAGGGCCAGCAAGATTATGTAAGTGCAAGTTTATCAAAAACATCGGCGTCTTTCACAAACAGAACAGTAAAGAACAAGCATCAAGTACTGAATAACATGTTTTATTGATAACAGGCCTCTGAATAGGCAAAGTTTTGTACACTGGATGCAACTCCTAAAAAGAGGAAGTTACGCACAAACATACATACATATATGCACGAGAAGCATAAAGAAAATACAAAACAATATTTGTATACATGTCGGCAACTCCTCAAAAAACCATGAATTTTTAGTTTCTTCCGCCATCCCATCTAATGAATCAGTAAGATTTCTAATTTTCATGGAATATTTTGTATTCACAGGTTCCGTCGTTCCCATCGCTTTTCAATTTATGGTTAGGTCTAAATTCTACAATGGAGCTGCTTTAATAAGATTTTGTTTTTTTTATAATTCTTTTTTGTTGAATCAACCCTCTCAGTTTTCTTGATTCGTGGCTCTTTATTCGTTTATTCTAATATTCATCCATATATGGATGGATTTTGAATATTGATGCTTTATTACACTACTTTTTATGAGATGACCAATAGACCTTTACATAGTAGAATTCTATATCATTAATATCCTTTTTCTAGCTTTCTTTCACCCCTTCATTTATCTGTATATTCTTATTGCTTTACAACTAATAATTTTATTTTTTTTTATTTCAGTTGCTATAATTATATCACCACATAGATCCTTATTTTGATTTTCTATTTTCGGCAGTTCTTTCTATCCAAATAATGGGAAGCGATGAGTAGGTTTTTTATAGTAATGAATTCTACGAATTTTTGTAGAAATTGAAACACTAAAAAAAACCAACGAGTCACACACTAAGCATAGCAACTCCTTCATTATAAAATGATTCATTAATTTTTTTTATTCAATCTTCCAAATTTTGTAATTTCTTCAACGTAAAGTATTTCAAATTGTCATTTTTTGTTTTAAAAACAGATGGAACGTTATAAGGGAAAGTTGATTAGTCGTTGTTTAGAAGTTTTGAAATATCCAGATTTTGACTCCGAATACCCCAAACAAAGTTACAGGTGGAACGGAACAAAAATCCATTGGAGCTCGAATGGTTTGTAGAGGAACCCTACCTTCTCTCATCCATTCGACACGTGCAACTTCTTTTCCTTCCATACGTCCCGCAATTTTTATTTGAACTCCTTTTGTATCTGCCTGTTCAGCTAATTCAATACCTTTTTGCATTGCTTTACGAAACGAAATTCGATTCCGTAATAGTTCGCTTAAAAATTCTGCAACAATTTTAGCGTCTCTATAAAGATAAGGACTTGGAAGTTTTGTAATTTCAAGGTCGAGTTCTCGGTTCCCACAAGTTACTTTTTTTTGCACTTGAGTCTTTAATTGTTCGACTCTTAGATCCTTAACCTTTTCTTTTAAGGAGTCTGGAAGTCCCATATAGATTATCACTTTAATCAGATCGATTCTTTTTTGAATCTTTATTCGTCCCATTCCATAGCTAGAGATATCGGTCTCGAATTCACAGGATTCGGGTACCGTTTTTTGTATAAAATTATTGATACAATATCGTATAATTTTATCTTCTTTTACATTCTCGGAATACATTGTTGGTTTTGCAAACCAAATAGAATAATGACTTTGAGTTGCACCAAGTCGGAAAACAAGCGGATGTATTTTTTGGCCCATAACCACCACTCGGTATCTTTTTGTTTATCCATAATTAGATTTTTTTTATTAAACTTTCTATATCTTTATTTCTTTTTCTGTTGCAGAATAATACAATTCTTTTTATTCTGCAACAGATTGAGTAATTTATTAATTAATTCGAATCCTCATAATGTTCATTTTTATCAATGATGATTGCGAAAAGTATCCTAAAATGAATGGGAAAATTCACTTCAATGATGATTGTGACCTGTATTTTTAAATATATGGTAAAAAAATATAGGTCCAAGGGTAAATTGAGAAATATATTTTTTCTCATTTTTTGGATACCCTCCCAAGTTTTCGAGTAGGTGAAAATTCTCCTAATTTATGGCCTACCATACGATCTGTTATATAAATAGGTAAATGCTCTTTTCCATTATGGATAGCAATGGTATGCCCAATCATTGTAGGTATAATGGTAGATGTTCTGGACCAAGTTTTTATTAATTCCTTTTCTCCTTTTGTGTTAAGCTTCTTTATTTTTCTTAATAAATGATTGGCTACAAAAGGATTTTTTGTTCGTGAACGTGTCATAGTTAATTATTCCTCCTATAATAACTAAAAAAGTTAACTTTGTTCTCTTATATTTCCAATTCTAAAATATAGAATCTCTAAAAAAAGAAAATCCTATAATGTCCCAGTAAATTGCTATTTTCTTTTGTAAAGACGAAGAAACAAATTCTATTTTATCTACGCTTACGCCCGACTATTTACTACGACGACGAAGAATCAAATTATCACTATATTGATTCGTTTTTCTAGTTCTTCTTCCAAGTGCAGGATAACCCCAAGGAGTTGAGGGTTTTTTCTACCAATTGGGGCCCTCCCTTCACCACCCCCATGTGGATGGTCTACAGGGTTCATAACGACCCCTCTTACTACAGGACGCTTGCCTCGCCAACGTTTACCTCCGGCTCTCCCCATATGGTGACAAAGTGATTACCACTGGGATGACTATACATCCATCAATGAAAGCCACCCCATAAATATATAAGGGGAGTTTAAACATTTAAACCTAATTTTTTTAAGTTTATTAATAATATAAAAAATAATCAAAATATAAAAACATTAAAATATTTTAAAACTTAAATTAAAATTATAAAAATAATCAAAATAATTTAATATTCAAAATAAAAAAACGAAAAAAAATTGGAAACCCTAAAAATTAGCCACATTCGTCCATTCATGTGGCGACAACACATTGCCTTGAAACAACATTTTAACTCATTTGCCAAACCATTTCGCTAATGCTTGCTGGATAAATTTCAAAGTTTGTCATTGCCTTGAAACAACATTTTAACTAATTCGGCAAACCATTTGGCGAATGCTTGCTGGATGAATTTCAAAGTCTGTCATTTTGATAGTTTTTTTGAAAGCTTGTTTTATTTGGTAATTAAATTATATAACATCATAACATTGCTACTTTAAAAAAAAATTCTGCTGATTATAAGTTAGTTATTAGATTTAGTTGATTAAACTGATATAAAATAATAATAAAATTTAATCAATACATTATGAAAATATAAATATATCATGAGTTTAATAGTAATGCATTAATATTGTATTAAATGAAAATATATTATTCTATTATATCATACATATAATTTAAACATTTCCGTCAAATTTAACGAAACACATAGGTTTACGAGATATATGAACATCAATAATTAAAAATATAAAATTAATTTACACTTCCCATACATCATCTATTTTCTCATATATTATTTACGGTTAATTAATTATAATTATCAATAAGTAATTTTTTTTAATCACATCTATAAAATTAAATTATAATTATCAATAAGTAATTTTTTTTAATCACATCTATAAAATTAAATATTTATAAAACTTTTTACATAAAAATTACTCATAAGTAAATCTCTTGAAAAAAAAGGCGTGGACGATCCTGATTGGCTACAACAGAACCAACAGCAAACGTGAGCCATTGGATAACTCATCCTAAAACCTGGAAACTAAACTATAAAAACCCTGCAGTCTACAACTAGTTCTCTTTAGAGAGAGAAACTAAAAGTTTTTGTAAAGAGCAATACAGAGAGTTCAAAAACCAAAATTCCAAAATTTATTGAAAAAAAACCAAAAATTTATCATTGTTAGAGGTGGATCGGAGTCGGAGAAAGGCGGATCTGGTTAGTTATCATGGAAGGAGTTGGGGCCCGACTGGGGCGGTCCTCGACCCGTTACGGACCGGCGACGGTGTTCACTGGACCGGTGAGAAAATGGAAGAAGAAATGGGTTCACGTTTCACCTTCTTCCGCTTCCTCTAATTCCAACAACAATACCAATCACAATCACGGTTCTTCTAATGGTAATAATAACGGTTCTCATCTTCTTCTTTATAAGTGGACACCTATTACTCAAAGCCAGAACACCAACAATAACGGAAGTGTTAAGGACGCGCCGCTGGAACCGGTGGAAGAGCCTCCCCGGAGGAAATTTAAATATATTCCGGTATTTTATTTACAATGCACTCCTAATATGAGTTTATATTAGGGTTTTTATGGATGAAGCTGAATTGATAGGGTTTTATGGATGATGATTATTTTTTGTGTTTCTGTTAATTGTTGCCTTTTTAATGGAATTGATAATTTACTGACCAAGATTATTGTACACGGTAGTTTTGAGTTATGATTCATGTAGCTTAACCTCATAGAATATGCTTTTTTTCCCTTCCTAATAGTGATTAAAAAACAATGGAGAAAAGGAAGATACGACGTTTGAAGTTTAAACTCTCTAGCACCGACACATCTGAAAAAAGACGGTTTGGGTCGGTGTCTGACACGGACAACATTTGTGATTACGCTCAATTTATTCATTTTTTCAAATTATTACCCGTGTTGACATTTCAACATCCGTCCCGAGTCTAGTGTTCTTGTCTGTGTCCGTGCCAGCAATCTTAAATTTGTTTTGATAATTTTTTTATTTCAATGTTTGGTATGATACCAAAATGCCTTTTTGGCTGCTTTCAGAATGATGGAAGTATTAGGAATAAATTAGTTATTTGGTTAATTTTGCAGTGTTGCTTGGGCTATAACTTATAAGTTGGTCTACGGTTTAGCGAAACTAGAATCAGGAATGAGATTTATGACTTTTTGTTTAAGAAATGAATTTCACTTTACCATGAATGTACTGAGATGGATGCCTTTTGTGGGAAAGGTGTTGGTGTTGTGGGGACGAAATAAAGGTAACTAATGATAATTCCTATAGAAGCGATGCTAGTTTTTGTTTGAAGATAGGATTTGGAAAATAATTTATGATAAATGAAAGTTTGCACCTTGTTTGATGAATAAAAGAACAACTATTGCTGAAAGTGGCATGATTCAGATATTGGAATAAGAATTCTATGAAAAGTACCATAGAATGAGAATCATAGAGTGTTGGAGAGAGACAGAGATTATTTTGGTGGAAATGAAAAGGAAAGATGTCATTACATAGTAGTTTGTGGCCCTAGACAGTCTAAAGGAAAAGGAGGATCTATTCAGCAAAGATAATTATTGCCAAATTATTATTCAATAAATTTTTTAGTCTTTATTCATGTTGAAATACTGATCTCTCCATTGTGTTGGTATATTCCATAGGTTTTTAATTTTTATTTTAAATACATCTTTGGGATGGATTGCTGATCACATTTTCAGAATATTGTATATTATCATCTCATTTCCTTAGAAAATTTTAATGATTATTGATTGATCAACTCAGACAAGCGTTTCTTGTCTGTTCTATTATTATATTAGGCAGTATTATATTATTGTGATAAGACAAACATAATTGTCCACTCAATTGTAAACCCTCAATTTAGTTCTTAAACGGTATTTGAAAAAATGTTCTTAAAAGATTAGTAAGATCAATTTAGTCTTCTGATGACATGAAGTCATAATTTTTGAGTTATATTAATCGAGAAATATTGGATGTTATATAAATCTTGAGGACCAGAATGGCATTCTAACTACTTTTAATTATGCTGATGCATCTTTAGTTTGTTAGTTCTAAAAACAGTGGTTTGTCAATGCTGTGTTGCTGATAGGATTAAAAGTTGAGTTGTTAACACAATTACACTGTCAAATGAGTTTGTTTTCTAAATAACAATTGGTTGATGATCATATACCTAGACCTAACCCTTGGAATTGTTCTGCATAGTACTTCTGCGGTTTTTTACTTTTTTAGATAGTGCTTGGCACATACCTAGACCAAACATAATAGAATATTTTGTTTTGTTCTCTTTGGTCCAAAATCCACACCATTCCATTTAGTTGAACTAAAACATACCACTTTTAAACTTCACACTTATCAAATGCTACCTTAGCATTCCCTTGTGTTGTGCAACCTTCGATAGTGTTTATTTCCCCACATTGTTGGCCATCAGGCAGAATCTACTACTTAGAGCAATAATCATCCATGGTAATCAATTTCTGTATCATATTACTTTACAATAGTAGGTATCAGAGTTGAGTTAACTCAAAAAGTTGCTTTTGTAGTAGACTTGGATAGGCGCACATAGAGTCACCGGTATGAGTACAAATTGTACAATACAATGGCAGTGGCAGTGTTTTTTTTTTTTAAAAACCCCGAAGATAAGAGCAACAGTTGAATGCTATGGGGCTGTGGTAGTAACCTCAGAGTTATAGCACTCGACTCCATAAATGCATCTAGCATCTCAATGTGAACTCAATTATAAACAAGGGGAGCATTGTTGTATTGAGTCTCAACCTTGCAGCTTTTGCAAGTCTGCAATGAATCAATGGGCCAACAAGGTACTTGAGTGATCCTAACTCTGATGAGCTGATTCCAGCCTGACGAGGAGACTCAGTCCCACCATCCTTTACTCTTCAGTAATTTTGTTCCCCATGTTTTAGTCTGACCTGGAACTTGAATTCATCTTTGATACACTTTCACATTTCCGCCATGATAAATCATTTTAGTATTCCTTGTTTTGATGCCAATTATCTTGCTGGATGATGATAATTTAATAAGTTATGTTAAATGGCATGGGGATTGGGAGGGCGTTGTGGTAATATTCTGGACTGTCTGATGATGCAGGTTGCTGTATTAGAGGAGCAGAAAAATGAGGCTACAGAAATTGGTGAGGTTGCTGAAAAGGTAGAAGATGAATCTAATCCAGTAGAGGCCGATTCAAGTGCAGCAGAACCAACTAGCAAGAATGAGATTTTGGATGAAAAACCTGATATAAATGATGTCCCAATGGAAGAAAGTGAGGTAATCCCTTGCTCATATCTTCACTTCATGTTTATCTGCTGCATACAATTGTCTTTTTCTAGAATTTAATAACTGCAGTTCGCATTCTATACAATGCCCTTGTGAATAGATAGACGGGAGATGTTTTTGCAGTTATAATTAGGACACATGTTAATGAGTTGGATAGAAAAATGATATATGATAGAACATTATGGCATCGTTCGATCTAGGTAGCCGACTCCAATTAGTGGGATAAAGCTCGGTTGTTGTTGTAATTAGGATATGTGTAGTTTGTTTAAGTGTTATTTTTTTAGTCGTTTCATTTAATGATTTATAATCATCTGTTTCTTTTTGAAAGTTATTTTATGCGGAAAGCAACGAAAAGACTCAAATATTTCTTTCACCATTTCTCAAACACAGTTAGAATAAGAAATAAATTGAAGATAAGGAAATATTTTGGTCGATATTAATGATAACACATGTTTTCTTAAACTAAAATTTTCTTAAGAAAACTTAGTTTGTCGTAAATAATCGCAACATACTTTTTTATGACTTTGAAGTTTTGGGAGGATTGTCCTTAACTTTCACAATGTATACTGATCTGACTGAAGTTTTGTTCTTGTTTCAACTTGGTAAAAAAAAGAAGAAGAAATAGGTAAGTTTTAGAGTTCAAATAAGCATTACACAATTCGAAAATTCATAGTTTGGAATCGTTATCATGTAAATAGTGATCTACATTTCTCAAATTTGTCGTGTTTGTTACCAGCTCACAATTATTCATAATGATGACTTTATATTTCAGCCTCAAGACAAAAATCAGGTAGTACGTCAAGATCTCAACGAGAGTTTGGATTTGAGTTTGGGTTTGACATCACATGACGAGGACCATGATTCTGATTCAAAAACTAATCAAACTACAGACGATGGCCAGTAACGCAAGGTGAACTCAAGTGGTACTGAGACATGCGCAGGGTTGCCTCATCATTCTACGTGATTCAGACTATATATTGGCCTGATGGAAATGAATTTTCACCCTGGCTAGATGCTCACTCCCTGACTGGTTTAGGTTGGATGATTGTCGTGGCAATATGTCGATTGTATGTTATTATTATGCGGTGTCCTTGCTGGTGTAATCAGAATATGTAATGCATGAACATATATATACATTTTCCCAATCATTGGACATAATTTTTTTTCCAGACAGAATATTCTGGACGGCAAAATCATTCGCAAGTGAAATGGATATTTTATTTTTCAAAAATAGAAAATCAATAACCTCACTGATGATATTCTGCTATTGGTGTCTTAAACTTGTGCTATTTGAATTGTGTTTAATACCAAGATTACCATGTGCAAGATATGCAAAACTATGATACGGATAAATTGAGAAAAAACTTCTTTAGAGCAGAAGCAGCTCCAGATGAGAAGGGGATTTTTTCCCTTTTGGCACCATAAAAGATAACATTGATTTTGTACCATAAAAGATATGGTTAGTATATCTTAGTATCTATTTCTGTAGCTCAAATATAATAGTTTTTGTTTTTTCAAATTAAACCTCAAATTAAACGTGACACTCTTGCCACCCCTCAAATTATACGTGACACTCTTGCCATCCCTCAAATTAAACTTGGCATTCTTATAGTCGCTGCTATTATCTTTATGGCTTTATTAATTTTTTTTGAGATTTTCAATTGCGTTTTAGGGAAGTTTTGAAAAATTATATTAGAATTATTTGATAAAAATCAATTTTTTTTTTGGAAAAAATTTGAAATACCGGAATTTGTTTTTACTGGAATTTTAAATATTGAAAATTTGGATTTTTTTTGACAAACTACCAAATTTTTTGAAATTTTTAATAAACTACAATATTTTTTGAAATTTTTGATAGTGATAAATTTTTTTTTTGCTTATTGCATATGAACTACTGAAATTTTAGAAATTCTGAAAAAAAGAAGACAAATGTCAAATTTATCAAAAAATATGGTATTTTAATTGTTTTTTTCTCAAAAAAGCATATAAAAGATTTATACTAACAATTTAAAAATGAACTACCAAAAATTTGCTCAGTTACCCGAAAATTTGAATAAACTATCAAAAAATTCGTTTGAAATTTTAACTCAAATTTGTCTATGGATAGTTTGGGATTATGAAAATACGTGGAGGGTGCTAAGTTTAATGGGTTGGCAGGTTAAATCCTCTCTGGACGCATCCAAAACACAAATGTTTGCCCTTAGGCTACTTTAAAATAAATTAAGGAGATACACCTCCATAAACATTCAACGTCTAATTTGTACACTTATTACTTCCGAAGATTCATATTCAAACAATATTTAATCAAAAGAGCGCCCAAACACTTTCTTCTTCCTCGCTTGTCATAATATTTTCAAATTCTCCAACTCTCATCTCTCAAAATATCTCAACTTACATTCACTCAAAATCATTCAAGACACTTCCAAATCTTCTTCCATCAACATCAAAACTATCAAAGAGCTCATTCAACATCAAACTCCAATCACATTTGATAAGTTTTGGATGTTTTCTATAGTTTTTCATTTTCCATCAACATATGTAAAAATTGAGAAATATGTTATGTAATAGGTAGTTTAGATATGTTATTTATGTCAACAATGTATTTGATTGGTTGTTTTATTGAAAAATGTATTATTTTGGCTATTGGGCAAACTGCATGTCTGCCATTGACGAGCTCTGAGTTGCAGAATTTTACGGAGATGTATCCCCGTAAATTTTCCCTAGGAGATCCACCTAGGTCAGCTCATTAGAAGATACTAGAGGAGGAGTAGGCTATGACTGATCATGTTGTTGATGTGTTGCCTAGATGTCGTCGTATCATGCAGATTGGGTAGGCTGGTATAGACAACAAACTATTTTCGGATGACTCTGTAGGGAGGGACGTTATAAATGTCATGATGGAAAAGGCATGGGGGGCACTGGAGTACAGGAGACAACGTAGAAACAGGGGGCCACAGTCCGTCATACACAGTAATTTATAGTTTTTGTATTAAGAGCACTATTTTCTGTTATATTTTATTTTGTACTCTGGATTTTGACTTTATTGTGTACTCTTTTATTAACTTATATATGTAATTTTCATATATTCCAAAAGTGTGTGTTTAAATTATACAAAAAAGTCATATATCGTAAACTCATTAGAGCCTCTCTAAATCAAATTCAAAAATGGCTATCTGATGTGGTTACGAAAATGCATCTCCGAAATTTGTTTGGTGTTATCACGAAGATGCATTTTCGGATCAATTCTTCTCAACATAAGGCGTTTACTGGGCAATGTATGTGGTGTACATTAAGTTGTTAGAGAGATGCATCTCTGTAACAAATTTTGAACAACATTAGGGTGCTACTGAATTTGAGTGCATTTGAGAAATAAATATGGTGCGTTCAGAGATGCATCTCCGAAATCTGAGGGTCATTTTTAGTTTTTCAAATGTTGTTTTTCCAACACATAGAGTGAGGCTAGCAACTCCCTTCCTCTTTCTCTATATGAGTCATTGTCTGGATGATGCCCAATTATCATTGGAGGATCTTTTGCTTGCATCATTATTCCATGGGCTGTATGCAACCTTATCCTGAAGGTCTAAATGAAGATATATCTATCCAAATTCATCAACATTCTCCTATGTGATTTTCCAGTGTTAGGAAATCCTATCTAATGAATCAAGGGTTTGAGTCTATGGTTGTTTTCAAAGTGTGAGAGCCAAGCACAACTAAGGGTTTGAGATCAAGGCTAGTACTTGTGACCAAAGCCAATATGGTTAGAATCTGTGAAGGTGGTTGGCTATGGAAGGGGCGCAACTTAGACACAAAGATAGATTTTCATATTTGTAGGGAGAGCAAGCTCGTAAGCAATTAATACAATGGTGTGAAGGATTTTTTAGTTTCAGGGAGGAACGTCAACAAACAGATTTATTGGTAAGGTTGCAATCACTAGAGGAATAAATCTATAATCCTGAAGGTATGCTCTTGTCTGTGACTATTAATCTAAGAGCGCATGCAAAATTGTGTTAGGGCAAAGTTTTTCCTAATTTGAGTAAGCATTTGGCAACACAAAGTAAGGATTTTTTCCAACAAAGCGACTCTGATTGTCTTTAAAACATAAATTTTAGTAGGGGTGGCAAAATGGGCTCAGTCCATTGGGCATGTCCGTTTGATCGCACTTTTTTATAGAACGAACCAAGGTTTTAAACCCGCACCCTTTAATATGTTTGTCCCATACTGCCCTGTTTTTATGGGCGCGAGCATTAATACAAGTTTTTGTAATTTTATGTTAAAAAGATGCAGTACCCGTATGCGCGCCATTTTTGTGTGTGGGGAGGATCAAAGTTGTAAGCCTACGCCAAACACAATTCCCGCCCCACCCACCCTAGTTTTTGCATGGAGGGTCTAAATAGAGCGGACATGCTTGTTTTCCTCCTCCAACTCATAGTGTTTGGAGAAAAAAATTGTAAACAACCTCGAATGTCATGATTTTAAAGATTTGGTTGTGAGGATGTGCTATACCAAAATTATATCAATTGTAAAATGTGATGCCAAAACTTAAGGAAGTCAAACACAAAGCAACAAAGGAAATTTTGGAAGCTCTCGAGGATCCAGTTGGCCCTCTCTATTTAATCTCTTGTCTCTAGGTTATAAGAGCTACTCAATTAAATATAGTCCCATTAGGACGAAATAACTCGACATAATTGTTAACACTTTTTATCAGCCACTTATAATGGCCATATGCTTACCATGGAGATGACAGATCTTATAAAGAAAAATGTGAGCTAGATATAAAGTTGTGAAATATATATGCAAGGAGAGTAACAAAATGTGAAAACATAGCAATCTCACAAAGACCAAATTTGGTCACATGGGTGAGATTAAGATTTGGGATGAATTTTGTGAATATGTTGGCATCCTCCAAGTTTGGTTCGGCAGTGCAAGGGGGATAGGTACTTGTAAACACTCCGCTTCTCAAGTCAGTGATCGTCAATAATGTGACGTATTTTTAAGATAAAAGTGTTTGTACCTGATTTGACCTCTTACTTCCCTTTATGTGATTTGACAGTCTTCATATCCTTTTTCTTAACTACATGTTCTCCATGCTTGTTTCCATGGTGCTAAAACTTTTATTCGGACCATAGATAGAATGGACGTCCTTGGTCTGATGTCAGATCAATCAACATCAGAATTCTCTTTGCTTTGATAGGATAATCCATTATTTTCCTAAAAAGTTGTTGACATTAAGGAATTTCATATCTTTACTGGGTTTGTGGTTATTTCTAGGCCTTGTGTCCAGACCGGAACAATAGCCCCCAAACCTGGTACAGTGAGATTAGGTTGGGGTTTGTCTTGGTATCCTTTGAGGAGTAGCCCGCAAATGCGGATCTGATTATCTTTGACCTATACAATCTTAATTTTATAATTCTTTTATACTTGTTTTGAGTTGTCTTCCTTGTATCTAGAGGTTTGTATGATTTTAATGTCAATCGTTCATGTTGGTCTGTCATATGGGAATATCTACATTAGTCAAGGTTATTTTAGATTATTATGTTTCTGACATTTAGTTTTTTTCTTCATCATGACATGTCTTCATAGGCTTGCCTTTAGGGATTCTAGGCATGGAATGCAATTAACGGTCCTGACCTCTATACCTAGACGTGATAATTACAGCGTGGGAAAACATTGTTGTAAATATTCCAATCCAAATGGCTTTTTGTGATTGCTTTTACTGCTGGAATTTTCCTATAAATAATAATTTTCTCATTCATTTGTGATTATGTCTTCTTACTTCTTTACTTAGTATTTCTTGTTGCCATGGGATATTTATGAATTCCGTTTGTGGGGAAATATATATTTTGGTGAGACAACGTTAGTGTCTAATGTATTCCATTTGGATATATATCTATGAGTGAACTTCAT